CATCAGAGCGCGGGGGAGGGGCGTGCTCTGACCGTGGCGCACATCAGAGCGCTGGGGGAGGAGCGTGCTCTGACCGTGGCGCACATCAGAGCGCGGGGAGGGGCGTGCTCTTACCGAGAGCTGACCGTGGCGCACATCAGAGCGCGGGGGAGGGGCGTGCTCTTACCGAGAGCTGACCGTGGCGCACATCAGAGCGCGGGGGAGGGGCGTGCTCTTACCGAGAGCTGACCGTGGCGCACACCAGAGCGCGGGGGAGCAGCCATGTTCTTACCGGGAGCTGACCGTGGCGCACATCAGCACGTCGTTCAGCATGAACAGCCGGCGTTCTTTGGTTTTCACGACCTCCCCTCTGTCATTGTACACTGTCTCTATCATGTCGTCAGACCGAATGAGGTACCGATTCCCACTGCTCAGGAGCTGAATGCAAAAGCAGCACACTTAGCACGCTGGTTGGCACCACGGAGAAAGCAACACAGAACGAGTCGTGCAAAGATATGTGTCAGGGCGTCCATGTGGGATGCAGTTTCCCTTTGGAGGGAGGCCCTGTGTTCCCGACACTTCACGGTGGAATCAGAGGTGACTTATTAAACACTGGCACGGACACCAGGGTGGGAGTGAGCCCCCGGTGACAGGAGCCGACCGTCCCCGCACCTCCGCCATGGGCTGCCTTCCTCACCCCTGCCTCCACGTGCGGTCTCTGAACCTACAGCCTCTCAGGCCACGGCCAAGTGCTCAGCGGCCTGGGCTCAGTGTGGCGGCTGCTCCCCCCTGCCCCGGTGAAGGCAGCAGAGGGCCCAAGTGCTTGGGACCCTGCCACCGGTGTGGGACACCCAGACGGAGCTCCTGGCTCCAGCCTGGTGGACGCCACATCTCGGTCTCAACCTCTCAATCTCCCTTTCTCTTGCTCCGCCTTTAGAATAAAGAAATCTAAAAACCACATTCCATCACTTGGAACAGCCGGAAGGGGAGGCACTTACTTTTCCCAGGGGCACCTGGCGCTCACTGAGCCCAGCAGACACTGGGGGAAGACGCCTGGGTCCACCCAGGGGCACTCACACCATCTACAGCAGTCAGCCCGGCAAGCAGCCCGGAGCCTCCCCACAGAGGCGCCCGCGGCCCTCTGAGCCTACACCTATGCTGGCGGCCCAGCTCCAGGCCACCACGGAGGAGCCGGCTCCTGTGTGACAAGGCCCCGTGCACATTCACACCTGCCCCAGGACTACCAGCCACGTCTGACTGCACACCACACCTGGCAACCCCCTGCCCTGTCCCCTCGTTTCCCCGTGCCCTGGCTTCTCAGGCCACGTGTGTGATCCAAGCCCTTCAGTACTGCAGGGAACCACGACCTCAACACAAGCCAACGTCAAGCACGTAACTGACAGCTGTCTCAGCCCCCTTTACAGAACACGAGCACTCTCGTTGCTTAATGTCACCGGCAAAGTGGTCACAGCCGTGCGACAGGAGGTTGCTCCCCCGTGGGAAAGTGCCCCTCCGGAGAGCACAACAGGTGACTGTAGCGAGGACGACCATTGGATGCGACTTATGCGACACAGCCTTGGAAGACCAGGGCCTTAACTAGACGTGGCAGAAGTCTCAGGTCAGGGCATGGCAGCAGGAAGACGGCTTCGTGCCTCAAAGCTGAAACGCGGCCCTGCCAACGACCACGTTCGGGCGTAAATCTGACTCCGTCTGCGTGCCGGTGAGCACAAGACATCGGCAGGCGTGTTCAGCTCTCAGTCGCCATGCCCGTAAACACGGCATCGGGAGCAAAGCTAAGAGGGAGGCTCCTGACCGCCTGGGGTGGCCCTGGGCCCCGCGACGGCCCGAGGAGTCTGCACAGCCCTTCTAAGACCTGCGCCGGGCCCCAGCCTCAGCCTGGCAGAGGAGCTGCTCCAGGTGTTCCAATGGGTTAATGAGAAGCCGCTCGTTAGCGCAAAGCAAACACCACGTCAGCGCAGGCGCGAACCTTGTTCAGGTATCTCTCGTTGATGGCTTTCGCTATCTGTTTAATCTCGCAGCGCTGATCGGCGTCCCTCTTCCTCTCATTCAGCTTCTCCGCCAGGGTTTCCAGCTCCGTCAGCGCCATCTGCAGGGGCAGCCGGTCAGGGTGTCCTTTGGCTGTGTTCTTCAGCATGTCCTGTGGGTGCCAGGGGAGGGCAGTGGTCAGCACAGGTGCTGCCCCTCCCCACCAGGGCACCACGTCACTCAGGACCGACACCTGGAGCCATGTGCAGCCATCGGCTCCTTCTGGAGGACACTCGATCGGCATCGGCAGGGCATGACCAGTAAGTGAGCAGTGCGCTTTGCAAAAGCCAAAATGATGCTGACGACAAACCACATCCTGCAGCCCAGGGCACTGGAACCACGAGCATGCCACAGCCCCAGAACTGTAAGCATGGCACAGTACCAGAGCCGCAAGCATGCCACAGCCCCAGAACCACTAACATGCCACAGTCCCAGAGCCGTGAACATGCTACAGCCCCAGAACCACTAACATGCCACAGTCCCAGAACCACAAGCATGCCACAGTCCCAGAACCGTGAGCATGCCACAGTCCCAGAACTGTAAGCATGGCATGGTCCCAGAGCCGCGAGCATGCCACAGCCCCAGAGCCACGAACATGCCACAGTCCCAGAACTGTGAACATGCCACAGTCCCAGAGCCGTGAGCATGCCACAGTCCCAGAACCGTGAACATGCCACGGTCCCAGAACCATGAACATGCCACAGTCCCAGAACCACAAGCATGCCACAGTCCCAGAACCACTAACATGCCACAGTCCCAGAGCCGTGAGCATGCCACAGTCCCAGAACCACTAACATGCCACAGTCCCAGAGCCATGAGCATGCCACAGTCCCAGAACCACAAGCATGCCACAGTCCCAGAACCATGAGCATGCCACAGTCCCAGAGCCGCTAACTTGCCACAGTCCCAGAACCACTAACATGCCACAGTCCCAGAACCATGAACATGCCACAGTCCCAGAACCACGGACATGCCACAGTCCCAGAACCGTGAACATGCCATGGTCCCAGAACCACAAGCATGCCACAGTCCCAGAACCACTAACTTGCCACGGTCCCAGAACCGTGAACATGCCACACTCCCAGAACCACGAACATGCCACAGTCCCAGAACCAGGAGCATGCCACAGTCCCAGAACCACGAACATGCCATGGTCCCAGAGCCGCTAACTTGCCACAGTCCCAGAGCCGCAAGCATGCTACAGTCCCAGAACCATGAACATGCCACAGTCCCAGAACCGTGAATATGCCACGGTCCCAGAACCACAAGCATGCCACAGTCCCAGAACCGTGAACATGCCACGGTCCCAGAACCATGAACATGCCACAGTCCCAGAACTGTGGACCTGGATGCTGCCTTGTCTCTGACTCCATCCCTGCCTCACTCACCCTGCTGCTCTCCAAACCCACTCCTACCCCACCAGCCACGGAGGCACAGAAGCACAGCGCCAGGCAGAGGAACCCACGCCTGCAAACCTGGGGCCTGGGCTTTGTTTCTGCCACAGAGGCTCCGTTTCCTGGGAGGGAACAACTGACAGGTCACCATGTGGGTGACAGTTTGAAAGAGCATGCTAAATTTTTTAAAGCACAGCTGGAGCCGGCGCTGTGGTGTAGCGGGTTAAAGCCATGGCCTGCAGTGCCGGCATCCCATATGGGCGCTGGTTCTAGTACCGGAGTCCACTTCTAATCTAGCTCTCTGTTATGGCCTGGGAAAGCAGTGGAGGATGGCTTGAGTGTGTGGGACCCTACTACCCACAGGGAGACCTGGAAGGAGCTCCTGGCTCCTGGCTTCAGCCTGGCCCAGCCCCGGCCATTGTGGTCATCTGGGGAATAAACCAGCGGATGGAAGATCTCTCATTCTCTCTCCTTCTCTGTAACTCTGACTTTCAAATAAGTAAAGAAATCTTTAAAACAAAACAAAGCACAGGTGTTTCTTGAATCTACAATAATGGCAATTCTGAGATTAAGAATTCATATGGGGGCGGGCTTTTGTGGTGCAGGAATGGAGCTACTCACCTGGGGCAGGTGGGGATGGAGCCACTGGCTCACCTGGGCAGGTGGGGATGGAGCCACTGGCTCACCGGGGCAGGTGGGGATGGAGCCACTGGCTCACCTGGGGCAGGTGGGGATGGAGCCACTGGCTCACCTGGGGCAGGTGGGGATGGAGCCACTGGCTCACCTGGGGCAGGTGGGGATGGAGCCATTCGCTCACCTGGGGCAGGTGGGGATGGAGCCACTGGCTCACCCGGGGCAGGTGGGGATGGAGCCACTGGCTCACCTGGGGCAGGTGGGGATGGAGCCACTGGCTCACCTGGGGCAGGTGGGGATGGAGCCACTGGCTCACCTGGGCAGGTGGGGATGGAGCCGCTGGCTCACCTGGAGCAGGTGGGGATGGAGCCACTGGCTCACCTGGGGCAGGTGGGGATGGAGCCACTGGCTCACCTGGGCAGGTGGGGATGGAGCCACTGGCTCACCTGGGCAGGTGGGGATGGAGCCACTGGCTCACCCGGGGCAGGTGGGGATGGAGCCACTCGCTCCCCTGGGCAGGTGGGGATGGAACCACTGGCTCACCTGGGGCAGGTGGGGATGGAGCCACTGGCTCACCTGGGGCAGGTGGGGATGGAGCCGCTCACTTACCTGCAGCAGGAGGATGAACTGCGGGAACCTCTGGATGGGCTTCATCATCAGGCTGTAGAGCGTGACCCGGTCGGGACCAGACTCCTGGCTCTGCTGTAGGGACAGCATGCGGCTCTCACACTGCAGACCGCAGGGACGCCACACCACTATGCGGCAGCCCCAGACCCTGGTCTTTGACCAAGGTTCACCTCTAAGCACTTCCCACCCCAGCTTGCCCGAGCTGTCACCGCCTGTCCATGTGGGAAGAACGCTCTAGAGCAGAAGGGGCTCTGCCCGAGCTCTGTCTGCCCCAGAGGCTCCTGTCTGCCCCAGAGAGGCTCCTGTCTGCCCCAGAGAGGCTCTGTCTGCCCCGGAGAGGCTCCTGTCTGCCCCCAGAGAGGCTCTGTCTGCCCCAGAGGCTCCTGTCTGCCCCAGAGAGGCTCCTGTCTGCCCCAGAGGCTCCTGTCTGCCCCAGAGAGGCTCTGTCTGCCCCAGAGAGGCTCCTGTCTGCCCCAGAGAGGCTCTGTCTGCCCCAGAGAGGCTCCTGTCTGCCCCAGAGAGGCTCTGTCTGCCCCAGAGAGGCTCCTGTCTGCCCCCAGAGAGGCTCTGTCTGCCCCAGAGGCTCCTGTCTGTCCCAGAGGCTCCTGTCTGCCCTAGAGGCTCCTGTCTGCCCGAGCTCTGTCTGCCCCAGAGAGGCTCCTGTCTGCCCCAGAGAGGCTCTGTCTGCCCCAGAGGCTCCTGTCTGCCCCAGAGGGGCTCCTGTCTGCCCCAGAGAGGCTCTATCTGCCCCAGAGGGTCCTGCCTCTTCCGAGCACCGCTCACCAGCAGGTCCCCCGGCTGTCCCAACCAGGGCTGCAGCTGGGGCATCTCCAGTGACCTGGTCGGGAGCTGCAGGCTGCACAGGGAGACCACGCAGCATGGCTTGGCCTGTGGCTCCCCAGCCAGCAGGCACCGGGCTCTGAAACTGGGCAGGGGCCCCAGCAAGACCCTAAGAACACCCTCGGCAGAGGGGAAGCCTCAGCTCAGCCCTGCTACCTCCCCCAGGGAGAGAAGCGCTGCAGCTCCTCCCTCCGCTGGGGCCGGGGCTTCACCTCTCAGCAAACCCTAACTGCCGACAGCAGCAGGGACACTGCCTCCCCGCGCCACGTGAGGAGGGAGCACGGCGAGATGCTATGGCTCACGTCACAGTGGCTGCTGACAAGAACACCTCCCCCGGGCGCACCTGCTGGGCCCGGGGAGTCTCCAGGCACACAGAGGGCATGGGCACAGCCCTGCCCTGAGGGCCTGTGACACAACAGGACCTGAGCTCAGTGGACAGACAGGTCTCTGAGTGCTGCCAAGGTCCTTTCTTATTGATGTCACTGCCTCTGACACACACCTCCCACTGGAGAGGCCCTGCCACGTCCCCTATCACGGCCATCGCCACCACCGCGGGAAGCCACAGGGTGTTTTCCCGATGTCAGTATGGACAAAGCCTGGATCTCACCAATCTCGGGGCCCGTCCAGGCCACTGCAGCCTGCCCCAAAGACCACTGCTGGGGTCTCGCAGTTCCCAACATCTGTGCAGGCACAGGCGTCCCTGCGTCGGCCCCTCCCCTTCTGTGCACCCACTTGGGAGCCGCACAGGTACGAGGCACTTTCAAGTAGCCATGTTCTTCACGCCCACCGCAGCACGCGGGCCCTGCTGCTCTGACGTCTCCGTACCAGCCTTCTGCGCTCAGGGCAGGGTCTGCGGCCTCCCCGTGTGGGATTCCGCCCAGCCCCAGGGCAGCCGGCGGCACTCACCTTCAGGAACTCCAGGAAGGCCGGCTTCGTGGCACATGTCTTCTTGAGGATCGCGACGGCGGTGCTGAAGTTGTTCACGTACTCGCTGTAGGCGTCCAGCACCATGGACTTGGAAAACTGGGGCACAGGAGGGGATGGAGGGAGACGTTACGGACAGGCCAACACTCACTTTTCAACTCAGGATGGAGGCTCGACACTGCCCTAATGCCCCCCTCCAGTGGCCATGATGTCTCATAGGAGAAATGTGTACGGGTCACTCTGCTCTTTACGAAGCCTCCGGGAGCTGTGTGAAAGGCCGGCTGGATCTAACTCTGTGCCCTAACGCACTTCCATGGCTCCTTGTGCAAAACCGTAGCCATCTGTGGCCGGCATCGTGGCACAGCACGTAAAGTTGCCACCTGCAGTGCCGGCATCCCATATGGGCGCCAGTTCAAGTCCCAGCTGCTCCATTTCCGATCCAGCTCCCTGCTAACGCACCTGGGAAAGCAAGAGAAGATGACCCAAGTGCTTGGGCCCCTGCACCACGTTGGAGACCCAGAAGAAGCTCCTGGCTTCAGAGCGGCCCAGCTCCGGCCATTTTGGTGGCCACTTGGGGAGTGAATCAGAGAATCAAAGTGCTCACTCACTCTCTCTCTCTCTCTCTCTGTAGCTGACATTCAAATAAATAAATCTTTAAAACAAAACACAAGACCGTGGTAATTTAGGCCGTGTTCTGCTGACAAAGGGGTGGAGATGACAAGTGTGGATGAATCTCCCGACGACCCTGCTGAGCCTCACTTGGTAAGGAAAGAGCACCAGGTAGCTCGCTGTGCAGGATCAGACGGTGGGGGGAAGGGCCCCGGGACGGGAGCGGGGCTGGCACGCGCCTCTGGGCCAACCCACGGCCGCCTAGGCTTGTTTTCCCAGAAGCACAAAGTTTCCAGAGGCAGAAACCTCTCGCCCTTGGTGGCAATGTCCACAGGGAGAACCCTCCAGAGGGCGCAGCGGCGAGAGCGGTGTGGACACCGGCACAGACATCGGAAGGGTTTCACCTGAGCAGGCTTTTTAGAAAAAGATTTGTTACATTGTTAAAATACTTTCCAAGGGGACCGGCGCTGTGGCTCACTTGGTTAATCCTCTGCCTGCAGCGCCGGCATCGCATATGGGTGCCAGTTCTAGTCCCGGTTGCCCCTCTTCCAGGCCAGCTCTCTGCTGTGGCCCAGGAGTGCAGTGGAGGATGGCCCAAGTGCTTGGACCCTGCACCCGCATGGGAGACCAGGAAGAAGCACCTGGCTCCTGGCTTCAGATCGGCATAGCTCCAGCCATGGCAGCCATTTGGGGGGTGAACCAACGGAAGGAAGACCTTTCTCTCTGTCTCTCTCTCTCTCTCTCTCACTGTCTAACTCTATCTGTCAAATAAATTAAAAAAAATAATTTGCAAGGAAAATATTTAAAGAAGAATGATAAAAGTTGAGGCAGAAGTGCAATAGCAAAGTAAATATCCCCTATTTCTCTTGTTCCGTCAGGTCCATGGAGGCTTTGCACAAATGTTTCAGCCAGAACTCTGCTTTCCCACACGGTCACAGCATCCTGTAACCCCCACAACTGCAGATGGAGAAACCCGGAGCCCACACTTCGCAGCAGGTGACCCGGGGCCCAGGTCTGCACTGCTGTCCCTGAGAATGTTCCAGATCCAAGAGGAGGCGTCTGGAAACCCTCCCGCTTGGGACTTCCTGCTGCTCCTGGGCACGGAGGACCCTGCACCCAGACGGTGAGGCCCGGCTCAGGAAGACAGGGCCCACACAGGGCTGGGATGGGGCTGCTCTGAGAGTGCCGGCAGCGGAAGCATCACACGGTGCAGGGATGCACCCGCGGCGGCTGCAGCCTCCGTCTCCTGCCCGCCAGCTGCATTGCCCGCCCCCCCGCCCCGCCTGCTGGTGTCTACCAGGTCACCTCCCAGGAGCCCAGGAGCCCTCAGCCTGGCCCTGGCGGCACTTCCTGTCCTCAATGAGAAGAGAGAAGAGAGCCCACGGGTGTGGGGGTGCCCGGCCGTTACCGAGGCCACGAAGACGTCGCCGATCATCTCCACAGAGTCCCACTCGGCCACGCGGCTGGCCAGCGCGATCTGGAACATGGAGTGGCACTGCAGGATCTCCTTGACGCGGTGGAAGACCGTCCTCAGCTTCCTGTCGCTCAGCAGCCGCGGCTCCATCTCGGACAGCGGCTTCTCGTATTGCTGCCACGGGACAAGCATGCGGCACCCGAGTCACCCCGACCTCCGTGCCACGACGCACATAGGACACGTGTCCTCGGGGACGCGGCACGGCGCCTGCCTTATCTCTGCAGTCACGCTTATTAACACACCAGTTAGGGTGGCACGTTGCCACACGCTGCCACACACTACCACACGCTGCCACACGCTGCCACACTGAATTCAGAACTACATAAGACAGGGCAATGAGACGTGCAGGCACACTACCACATGCTACCACACTGCCACATGCTGCCACACGCTACCACGTGACATTCAGAACTATGTACAACAGGGCAGTGAGATGCAAAGACATGCTGCCACACATTACCACATACTGCCACACGTTACCACACATTACCACACACTGCCACATGTTACTACACGGTACCACACACTGCCACATGTTACCACACATTACCACACACTGCCGCATGTTACTACACGTTACCACACACTGCCGCATGTTACTACACGTTACCACACTGCCGCACGTTACCACACATTACCACACACTGCCACATGTTACTACAGGTTACCACACACTGCCGCACGTTACCACATATTACCACACACTGCCGCATGTTACTACATGTTACCACACGTTACCACACACTGCCACATGTTACCACACGTTACCACACACTGCCGCATGTTACTACACATTACCACACGTTACCACACACTGCCACATGTTACCACATGTTACCACACACTGCCGCACGTTACCACACACTGCCACATGTTACTACACGTTACCACACACTGCCGCACGTTACCACACACTGCCACACATTACCACACACTGCCACATGTTACCACACATTACCACACACTGCCACATGCCGGTCAGGTACCTCCAAGATCCTCTTAAGAGCATCCACGTAGTTCTTTTCACTGTCAACAACGGAGCCCAGGATGTATCTTCTCACAACCTGCAGGAAATGTCACAGTATGATGGGTCCAGACCGCTTTGGAACACACACGAGAGAACTTTACTCCTGTGTGGGGGCTCGCTGACAATGCTGTCTTTGTAGAAAAGGCGTTGAACGGTGAGCTGACTAAACAGCATTACAGGAACAACCATTTCCCACATTAACACACAAATATAAATTATAACTACAGCCAAGTAAAATGCATGCACTCACGCAGTGACAACAGCCTGAATTAACCGATTGTGTTTCATGTGTCCGACACATACATTAGACGATATTTCAGTATAAATTAAATACAAAAAATTCCAGGGGTCAGCATTATGGCGCGGGGTGGGGGGGTTAGGCCGCCTCTTATGACGCAGGCGTCCCAAGCCGGACGTCCAGTTCAAGCCCCGCTGCTCCACTTCCAAGCCAGTTTCCTGCTAATGTGCCGGGAAAGCAGCTGCTGATGGCCCAGAAGGACGCAGTAGAGCTCCAGGCTCCCAGCTCTCCCTGGTCTGACCCAGCCCTGGCTATTGTGGGCAAGTGGGGAGGGAACCAATGGATAGAAGACATTTCTCTCTCTCTCCCTCTCTGTCAGTCTGCCTTTCAAATAAATACATTTTTAAAAATTCCACTCTTGATCAAAGAACGCTATTATTGACAGTTATCCACAATTACGGACAAACAGAAAGCGTGTGGAAGGCGGAGCAATTCTGGCACAGGTCCTTTGACCGCACGGAGACTGACCTAAGGCAGAAGCGGTGAATCCCTCACGTTCTGAGATGTCTGCATTCCAAGCACTGCCACCAATTTCAACCCACACGGTGTGGCCGAGACGCCTGTGAAAGGCCACCTGGTGCTTCCCTCACCCTCCACACAGTCCAGGAGGAGGAATTTGCCAGCAGATGGAGAATACAGCATAATATTACGACACAGTTGCTTTCAGACCAGCACATGTGCACTCGCTCGCATGCACACACACCAAACCATGTGCACACACTTATCACACACACACGCCCAACATGCACCACAAACCTGCATACCCACACACCACCACACATACCACACATGTGTGTATCCACATACCCAAAACACGCATATGAACACACATACCACACCACGTATAAACACATGCACAGAGTACATGCATCTGAACACACAGTCACACCACACCACACACAAGCACGCATCTGAGAACACAACACGCATGCATCTGCCCACACACTTGTAGAAGCATGCACACACCACACGTATGCATAAGAATACGTGTGCACACACACGCACACACAGGCATGCTCCAGAGTTTGGCTGGGCAATCCCTGCCTCTGAGTGAAGCCACTTAGAGAGACGTCGGTGCCACCCAGTGGGCAGAGAGAGCATTTCCACAGATGAGTTAAGTAGACCCCAGGGCAACCAAGAGTTACCCCCACGACCAACAAAGGGGCCACCATTCTATATGTCAAGAGCTAGTCCAATTCACAGAAGTAAGACAAGAATCAACCCTTGTAGGATACCTAATAAGAGACTGATGTATTAGAAAACACAGCCCCCCCCCCCCAAAGATGGGGCTGGCATTATGGTATAGTGGCTAAAACTGCCACCTGCATGGCCAGCATCCCATATGGGCACTGGTTCGAGTCCCATTTGCTCCCCTTCTGATCCAGCTGCCTGCTAGCCTGCCTGGGAAAGCAGCAACAGATGAGCCAAGTGCTTGGGACCCTGCAGCCACGTGGGAGACCTGGAGGAAGCTCCTGGCTCCTGCCTGGTTCTAGCCCTGGCACTTGCAGCATTTGGGGAGTAAACCAGCGGATGGAACCCCCTTCCGCCCTCTCTAACTGTAAGTCTGCCTTTCAAATGAATAAAATAAAAATCTTAAGAAAAAATGAAAAAGCAAACACAGCCATGGCTATGCATGAACGCCTCCCACAGCCCAGAATGGATGCTGGGAAGCCACAGTGCTGAGCAGCCTGGCCCTGCTGTGTGGCTGACCCCAAGCCCTGGGTCCTCAGACCCTTCACTGCTGATGGTGACCGAGTGACTCCCCACCTCGTCTCTACCAGAACTCAGATCCCCAGACACCACCCAGGCCCCTGCGTACAATACTCGGGGAATCAGAGCCATCTTCCAAAGTCCTGAGATGATACAGACAAAGCAGGTCAAAAGGCCTAAGACTGGCATAAACTAATTGAAACACAAGCCAAACTGGTCTCCCAGATTTCACGGCCACTGCACGTGCTGTCGCTCATTTCAGGCAGTCACGTGGGACAGACCAAACGGGACGGCCGGCCAGGTGGTCAGGGGAGGGTTTGCAGGGTTCAGTGCTGTGACCATTGGCCGAGAAGCTCAACACAGGGCAAGGCCACGTGGGAGCGCTCAGCACTGAAGGGTGCTTTTCTGCCTACGTGAACGGAACAAAGCAGGGGACTTGTCCCCTGGCAGGAGGGAAAGTGGTGTGCGGATGTCCGGGTTTGTGGGCCAAGCCCAGGGAAAGCGGGGCTGAGGGAGGGGCAGCTGCTACTGTGTCTGAGGCCCGGACAGGCTCAGGAGAGCCCCCTCTCTGCCACTCCACACCCCGAGAGGGCGACAGGAGGACTTCCAGCTCCAAGGGTACGTTTCACACAAACAACCACACAGGAAGCAGGAAGACGCCCCTTCCCCCACGTGAGGCCTGCAAAGAGCTCAGCACGCGGCAGCTTTAGTTACGCATCCTGATGTCTGCTTTCAAGAAAAAACAGTAATTAAGGAGATCAACACCCAAGTTTGAGCTTTAAAGAGCAAACCCCACCAAGTGGTCAACAGGAAAACTAAAGCTGGATGGAGAAACAGAGTCCTGAACGCTGAGAAATCACTGTGTTCGTGAGCTGGCCACGTCTGCATGCAGTCCACAGCGCAGGCCCCTCACGTGGGCCCTGCCTGTGTGTCCCCTACCCCAAGACCAGCACGGCACCACAGGACGCGGTACCGCGAGTACAGGGAAGGTGAAGACACTGAGTGACGCTGAGTGACTAATCCACCCCGACTCTGCCACGCCCCACACGCAGGGACCTGCGACGGGATGCAGCTCGGACAGGTCCTCGCACCTCACAGAGTAAAAAAAAGCAGGTGGAAGTCACGCAGCCCAGAGAAGACCACGCGGCCAGGGGACAGACAGGTGCTCTACCCACTGTCCCCTCACAGACCCACAGCCACCAACGTCTCCTCAGACACACACCCCTACTGATCCCTCACAAAGTCACACACCCCTACCAATTGTCTCCTCAAAGACACACACCCCTACCCACTGTCCACACAGACCCACACCCCTGCCACTGTCCCCTCACAGACCCACATCCATCAACGTCTCCTCAGACACACCTCTATTGATCCCTCACAAAGTCACACACCCCTACCAATTGTCTCCTCAGAAACCCATAACCCTACCTACTGTCCCCTCAGAGACCAACACTTTTCTCCACTGTCCCCACAGACACACACCCCTACCCAGACTCCTGAAAGACCCATAGCCACCAATGTCTCTTCAGATACACACCCCTACCGATTGTCTTCCTAAAGCCATACAACCCTACCCACAGTTTCCTCACAGAGCAACACCCAAACCCACTGCTTACACAGGCCCACACCACTACCACTGTCTCTTCACAGACCACACCCCTACCCACGGTCCCCTCGCAGTCCACACACAATACTCAGTGTCCCTTCACAGACCACAGGACGTCCTCTCTCAGCAGAGGCTCACACCCCTACTCACTGTCACCACACAGACCACACCCCTCCCCATGGTCTCCTCACAGACCACACCCCTCAAAAGGGTCCCAACACAGACCACTCCCCTCCCCAGGGTCCCTCACAGACCACACCCTCCCCAGGGTCCTCTCACAGACCACACGCCTCCCCATGGTCTCCTCACAGACCACACCCTTCCCAGGGTCCCTCACAGACCACACCCCTCCCCACGGTCCCTCACAGACCACGCTCCTCCCCATGGTCTCCCACAGACCACACCCTCCCCACGGTCCCTCACAGACCACTCCCCTCCCCACGGTCCCTCACAGACCACTCCCCTCCCCACGGTCCCTCACAGACCACACCCTCCCCATGGTCTCCTCACAGACCACACCCTCCCCACTGTCCCTCACAGACCACTCCCCTCCCCAGGGTCCTCTCACAGAACACACCCCTCCCATGGTCTCCTCACAGACCACACCCTTCCCAGGGTCCCTCACAGACCACACCCCTCACCACTGTCCTCTCACAGACCACTCCCCTCCCCATGGTCTCCTCACAGACCACACCCCTCCCCACTGTCCCTCACAGACCACGCCCCTCCCCATGGTCTCCCACAGACCACACCCCTCCCCACGGTCCCTCACAGACCACACCCTCCCCACGGCCCCTCAGACCACACCCCTCCTCACTGTCCCTCACAGACCACTCCCCTCCCCACGGTCCCTCACAGACCACACCCCTCTCCAGGGTCCCTCACAGACCACACCCTCCCCACTGTTCCTCACAGACCACACCCTCCCCACAGTCCCTCACAGACCACACCCTCCCCACAGTCCCTCACAGACCACACCCTCCCCAGGGTCCTCTCACAGACCACACCCTCCCCAGGGTCCTCTCACAGACCACACCCCTCCCACGCTCCCCTCACAGACCACACCCCTCCCCAGGGTCCCTCACAGACCACTCCCCTTCCCAGGGTCCCTCACAGACCACACCCTCCCCAGGGTCCTCTCACAGACCACACCCCTCCCCAGGGTCCTCTCACAGACCACTCCCCTCCCCACTGTCCTCTCACAGACCACACCCTCCCACGCTCCCCTCACAGACCACACCCCTCCCCAGGGTCCCTCACAGACCACACCCCTCCCCAGGGTCCTCTCACAGACCACTCCCCTCCCCACTGTCCTCTCACAGACCACGCCCCTCCCCACTGTCCTCACACAGACCACACCCTCCCCACTGTCTCCTCACAGACCGCACCCCTCCCCAGGGTCCCCTCACAGACCACACCCCTCCCCACTGTCCTCTCACAGACCACACCCTCCCCACGGTCTCCTCACAGACCTCACCCCTCCCCATGGTCTCCTCACAGACCACACCCTCCCCATGGTCTCCTCACAGACCACACCCCTCCCCACTGTCCTCTCACAGACCACACCCCTCCCCAGGGTCCTCTCACAGACCACACCCTCCCAGGGTCCTCTCACAGACCACACCCCTCTCCAGGGTCCTCTCACAGACCACACCCTCCCCATGGTCTCCTCACAGACCACACCCCTCCCCACTGTCCTCTCACAGACCACACCCCTCCCCAGGGTCCTCTCACAGACCACACCCTCCCCAGGGTCCTCTCACAGGCCACACCCTCCCCAGGGTCCTCTCACAGACCACACCCCTCCCCAGGGTCCTCTCACAGACCACACCCCTCCCCATGGTCCTCTCACAGACCACACCCCTCCCCACTGTCCTCTCACAGACCACACCCTCCCCACGGTCTCCTCACAGACCACACCCCTCCCCACTGTCCTCTCACAGACCACACCCCTCCCCAGGGTCCTCTCACAGACCACACCCTCCCCAGGGTCTCTCAAGACCACACCCCTCTCCAGGGTCCTCTCACAGACCACACCCTCCCCATGGTCTCCTCACAGACCACACCCCTCCCCACTGTCCTCTCACAGACCACACCCCTCCCCAGGGTCCTCTCACAGACCACACCCTCCCCAGGGTCCTCTCACAGACCACACCCTCCCCAGGGTCCTCTCACAGACCACACCCCTCTCCAGGGTCCTCTCACAGACCACACCCCTCCCCAGAGTCCTCTCACAGACCACACCCTCCCCAGGGTCCCCTCACAGACCACACCCCTCCCCAGGGTCCTTCATAGACCACACCCCTCCCCAGGGTCCTCTCACAGACCACACCCCTCCCCTCGCTGTCCTCTCACAGACCACACCCCTCCCCAGGGTCCTCTCACAGACCACACCCTCCCCAGGGTCCTCTCACAGACCACACCCCTCCCCATGGTCCTCTCACAGACCACACCCCTCCCCACGGTCCTCTCACAGACCACACCCTCCCCAGGGTCCTCTCACAGACCACACCCCTCCCCACGGTCCTCTCACAGACCACACCCCTCCTCAGGGTCCTCTCACAGACCACACCCCTCTCCAGGGTCCTCTCACAGACCACACCCTCCCCAGGGTCCCTCACAGACCACACCCCTCCCCAGGGTCCTCTCACAGAACACACCCTCCCCAGGGTCCCTCACAGACCACACCCTCCCCAGGGTCCTCTCACAGACCACACCCCTCCCCACGGTCCTCTCACAGACCACACCCCTCCCCAGGTCCCTCACAGACCACACCCCTCTCCAGGGTCCTCTCACAGACCACACCCTCCCCAGGGTCCCTCACAGACCACACCCCTCCCCAGGGTCCTTCACAGACCACACCCCTCCCCAGGGTCCCTCACAGACCACAACCCCTCCCCAGGGTCCCTCACAGACCACACCCTCCCCAGGGTCCTCTCACAGACCACACCCTCCCCCATGGTCTCCTCACAGACCACAACCCCTCCCCATGGTCTCCTCACAGACCACACCCCTCCCCACTGTCCTCTCACAGACCACACCCTCCCCAGGGTCCTCTCACAGACCACACCCTCCCCATGGTCTCCTCACAGACCACACCCCTCCCCAGGGTCCCTCACAGACCACACCCTCCCCATGGTCCTCTCACAGACCACACCCCTCCCCAGGGTCCCTCACAGACCACACCCCTCCCCAGGGTCCTTCACAGACCACACCCCTCCCCATGGTCCTCTCACAGACCACACCCCTCCCCAGGGTCCCTCACAGACCACACCTTCACTCACTCTCCTCCTAGAGCCTGGTCCTACTTCCTGTCTCACAGGCACACTCGCTGCGCACCAGCCCACACTCAGGGCCCGGCTTGGCCACTGTTCGCCATCAATCACGTGTCATCCCGCCCACGTCCATCTCCACGCTCAGGGCCCAGGCCCAGGCCAGCCCCGATCCTGCCATCCTCACAGCACTCCTCTTTGCCCTGGCTTTGGAAACCTCAATTTTCCTTCTCCACTGCAATGTCTGTCCAAGTCCTGTCCAAGTCTCACGTCTTCCGCCCTCACCCCAGGCCCTGGTAAGCGCTCACAGCAGTGACACGCGTGTCAGTGAGTTATCCAGCCTCAGGCCTGCAGAACCACGGAGGGGACGTCAGCCAAATCCCTTTTTCATTCTCACGCAGCTGTGATGAGACAAACGTGGAGCGGAAGTGCGAGATGCTTTGCTTCTGTGAAAATCCGCCGCAGGCCAGCCTGGCCAGCCGGCAAGGCGCAGGTCCCCACCGAGCAGAGGGCGCAGGTCCCCACCGAGCAGAGGGCGCAGGTCCCCACCGAGCAGAGGGCGCAGGTCCCCACCGAGCAGAGGGCGCAGGTCCCCACCGAGCAGAGGGCGCAGGTCCCCACCGAGCAGAGGGCGCAGGTCCCCACCGAGCAGAGGGCGCAGGTCCCCACCGAGCAGAGGGCGCAGGTCCCCACCGAGCAGAGAGGAGGTAAGAAGTGTGGGCTGAGAGCACAGACGGGCCAGGAATCGGACTCCCGCCGGCAGAGCTGCGGGCGTGATTTGGATGACTGACCTGCTCTGACCCTCGGCTCGTGTGCAACGCTTTGTGTGCATGACACGCCGCCGCCGTGCAGCCCGCGATGCAGCCTGCGGCCTTCCAGACCGAGCGCTGGGCAGCGGCACTTCCGCTGTCCCCGAGCTGTCTGCACCCCGTCGGCTCATGGAGCCCAGGGACATAATGTGTCTGCTTTTCCTCATTAATTTCAACCTGTGCTTCCCTGTCCGCTCAGAATGCAGCGCTCCTGCTGTGACCTGACCGATTACCAGCGCCTCCTCGGATGCTTTCCAGTTCCTTCCCAACTCTGAGCTGACCCCCGGGCATTTGACGTGGAGGAGGTGAGACCATATTGACCTATGTATCATCCATGTATCTATAATCTATTAATCAGCCTATTACCTATGCATTTACTCACCTTTTATCCTGCCACCTCACTCTCCACGCTCTACACAAATCTACCCTCGTGGAAAAGAACTCCAATCCCATCCAAAGACACCACCACCTGCCCTCAAGATGTTACAAAATGCATCATGTTCAGGCGATGTGACTGCCGATTTTAAACCTATTTTAGTGTCAATCTTGGTACACACATCACTTCGCGTACAGCACCCGTCTTGTCTTCCTGCAAGCGTCCTGTCAATGCAAACTCGTGCAAGTACCTGTCACCCAGAAGGAGGTTCCACCCGCTTCTCAGTTACACTCAGAACACGCGCTGAGTATCAGGAACCCAGATGAAGTCTCTGGCCCCAGCTGTGCCCGACATCAACCTTGCATGGCCAGACCAAGGCAGAAATGGAAGGCCCGAGAGGAGGGGAGTGGGGAGGGGCTGCAGACAGCGACCACAGGGCCTGTAAGTATCCACACGCTTTGGAGACCAGCCTGCTGCCCTGGTCACACCGCTGAGCTCAGCCCGGGCACAGGTGCAGGCCCCGACCCCACCCTCTGGAGGGGCCCACCCTACCTGCTGCGGAGACAGCCCCTCCGGCATGGGCAGCAACACGGCCTCCGGGTGCTTGCAGTCCACATCAATGAACAAGTTCTGCTCTTCTTCGAGACCAGATCTGTGATCTGAGGAGAGCGACCAAACGTGAGCTTCACGCTGACCGCGCGTCTCGGTAACACCCAGCTCCCTGGGCTGGCGCACCAACCTCCATGCAGCCAGCTCGACGCTACAATGGAATTTCAGCAAAGCCACTGAAACCTCTTTCCCTGATGGTAACGACGGCTGAAACGGTCAAAATCTGAAACTTGACCTCAGAGGGCAGAGGTGGCACCTGATGCTAGGTGGTCGGGTGGCTACGGGCATTTCTGTTCCTACCCTGTACAGCGCCCTGGTCAGAACACGCAGAGACAGCCGAGAACAGCTAAAATCTCTGCTCCTACCCTGTACAGCGCCCTGGTCAGAACACATAGAAAACTGAGAACCACTGGAATCAACCTGGGTTGCCTGGGATTCGGCCTATTTCTGGGTCTCCAAAGGAGGCTGCAAAGGTACAGTTTCCCACAGATCAGAACGTCTAACCAAAACTAAATCCAGTTTTGAGAAGTGGGACACAGCTGCCGACACGGAAGAGACCACAGAACGGCGGGGAGCCAGGAGGCCACGGAGCCTCCCGTAAGAGAAGCCCGAGGAGGCAGGACCTGGAGCCCAGGGCCTGGCCAGAGGGGCTTTCACAGTCCAGCATGGCTCCAGGCCCGCGTGGACGCTGATCAACTGCGGGTGGGGGATGCCTGGCACAGGGTAATGTTTGGAAATGCTCCAGGGACATTTTCGTGCGCCTGGAACAGGAAGCAGTGGTGCAGTGGGGACCACTCCCTTCCAGCTGAGGGAGTGAGGGCAGAGGGGTTGGGATTCTCCTGTTAACCAGTGACCTCCACCCGTGACCCGCCGAAGATCACCTCCCCTAACCAAGACGCACTTCACCGTCTCGGGGCCTGCTCAGGACTTTCCGGGCCACCTGTGGGTCCACCCCCTGGGGCCCCGCCAGCCTGCAGGTCGGGCTACAGCCTGCATGGGGCCAGGCTGGGCATTTCTGACCAGCTCCCGGAAAGTGCTGCTGGCCACACAGCACAGAAGGTGGTGCAATTTCTCCCTGTGCGTCCAGGGGGTGGCCCAGGAGCCATCCCCGGGGAGCCTGTCCTTGGGCATCGCTCCACACGTGGCTGGCGTCCCGGCCAGGACACGGATGCCACCGCACAGCTTTCGGGAAGGCACCTTGACCCCTGCGGGGTCTGACAAACTTCCCTGCCGGGCTGGAGGTGCAGAAGTGGGGCTGGGGCTGGAGGGGTGAGGCCTCGCTGGTTTTCACGCACGAGTGCCCACCCGAGGAAACACTTGATGTCCTTTGTGCACACAGACACGCACACGCCACACGGGAAAGCTGCGGGAACCACAGCGGCTGCTTGGTTCTCTCAAGCACCCTCCCCACACATCAGGGCCCAGAGCTGACACGGGATTCCTCCCGACGCTAACGAGCTCGGCCGCTGGCTTGCCGCCAACGCGGGATCTACTGAGACATGTTCACTTGTCATGCGTAACCACACACGACTGGCCCCTCAGCAAGGCCTCGGGAAAACTTGAAAGCCCTGCCCTGCCCTGCCCTGCCCTGCCCCGCCCCGAGGGAGAGGGGTCTGAGCCCTGTGGTTAGAATGCCCCGGGCGGCCCACACACTCACCGGCTCATGGCCACTCCCCGAGTCGCTCAGAATGCACGTGGACCGGGGCCCTGCACACAGGCGGCACTACCCAGGACATCGGGGAAGGGCACACAGGCGGCACTACCCAGGACACCGGGGAAGGGCACACAGGCGGCACTACCCAGGACACCGGGGCCCTGCACACAGGCGGCACTACCCAGGACACCGGGGAAGGGCACACAGGCGGCACTACCCAGGACACCGGGGAAGGGCACACAGGCGGCACTACCCAGGACACCGGGGCCCTGCACACAGGCGGCACTACCCAGGACACGGGGAAGGGCACACAGGCGGCACTACCCAGGACACCGGGGAAGGGCACACAGGCGGCACTACCCAGGACACCGGGGCCCTGCACACAGGCGGCACTACCCAGGACACCGGGGAAGGGCACACAGGCGGCACTACCCAGGACACCGGGAAGGGCACACAGGCGGCACTACCCAGGACACCGGGGCCCTGCACACAGGCGGCACTACCCAGGACACCGGGGAAGGGCACACAGGCGGCACTACCCAGGACACCGGGGAAGGGCACACAGGCGGCACTACCCAGGACACTGGGGAAGGGCACACAGGCGGCACTACCCAGGACATCGGGGAAGGGCACACAGGCGGCACTACCCAGGACACCGGGGAAGGGCACACAGGCGGCACTACCCAGGACACCGGGGAAGGGCACACAGGCGGCACTACCCAGGACACCGGGGAAGCGGCAGTGCCATCACCGCTGCCACGACTCCCCGCGTCGACAGCTGCTTACCGTGCAACGCCCCCTCTGTTTCTGGAGATCCCCAACCACCCCACAGCTGCCCCCATCTGAGAGGGGAGGCCCTGGCCGGCCAGGCTTGGTCTAACCCTGGGATCCACAGGTGTCCCACACCCCAAGGCTGTGTGAGAATGTTCCACGCCACGCCCACAAACATGCAGACCTGCGGAGATGAGGGACTTGGTCCTGATGAACGAGCGGCCCCTCTTCACAGCCGCCTTCGTCTTCTCCAGGCCGTCTCTGGTGCCCTCCTTCGCCGCCTTCATCAGCTTCTGCATCTGCCAGGCAAAGGGGGTACGCATGAGACGGGAGGGGAGACGGGACAGGAGACAGGAGCGGGAGATGGGAGGGGAGATGGGACAGGAGACAGGAGCGGGAGATGGGAGTGTGAGACAGGAGGGGAGATGGGATGTGGGACGGGAGGGGAGATGGGACAGGAGACAGGAGCAGGAGATGGGAGGGGAGATGGGACAGGAGACAGGAGCGGGAGATGGGAGGGGAGACGGGACAGGAGACGGGATGGGTATGAAGCCGCCAGCTGCTGCTGTTGTTCTAGAAGAAAACAGTCAATTGGCTTGGGCTCCAAACAGCGCCTGCAGCAGTGTGCATACCTCAGGGGAGAGAGAGAGGGAAGGAGGGGGTGGGGAGAGAAGGAGGGGGTCTGGGGCTACTTTCTGCTTCCCCGCTGTGGCTGCCACATTTAGAAGTCGGTCTTTATTTCTGTTATAATCACCGACGAACTCATGGCTCTGCCCAGGCTGCAAATGGCAAACTGCCTGCCCAGAGCCAGACGGTGCAGCCACTGCCCGTGGGCCCTTGCGGCTCCTGTTCCGCCTCTGCATGCTCTCTGCCGGCCCTGCCTGCAGCCCAGGGCCCTAACACCGAGGCAGCCCCGCCCCCATGGCCCCTGCCTGCAGCCCAGGGCCCTAACACCCGAGGCAGCCCCGCCCCCATGGCCCCTGCCTGCAGCCCAGGGCCCTAACACCCCAGGCAGCCCCGCCCCCATGGCCCCTGCCTGCAGCCCAGGGCCCTAACACCCCAGGCAGCCCCGCCCCCATGGCCCCCTGCCTGCAGCCAGGGCCCTAACACCCCCAGGCAGCCCCGCCCCCATGGCCCCTGCCTGCAGCCCAGGGCCCTAACACCCGAGGCAGCCCAGGGCCCTAACACCCCAGGCAGCCCCGCCCCCATGGCCCCTGCCTGCAGCCCAGGGCCCTAACACCCCAGGCAGCCCCGCCCCCATGGACCCTGCCTGCAGCCCAGGGCCCTAACACCCCAGGCAGCCCCGCCCCCCATGGCCCCATGCCTGCAGCCCAGGGCCCTAACACCCGAGGCAGGCCCCGCCCCCATGGCCCCTGCCTGCAGCCCAGGGCCCTAACACCCCAGGCAGCCCCGCCCCCATGGCCCCTGCCTGCAGCCCAGGACCCTAACACCCGAGGCAGCCCTGCCCCCATGGCCCTGTCCCCAGAACCTGGGCACCAAAAGGGCGAGACAGAGACCTGCGGCTGTGATGTGGGCAGAGACAAGGCCGCCCAGGAGCCAGGCTGCCCTGCAGAGAGGGCTCAGAAGGGGACGTCCCCTGTGGGCCGGGCCAGAGCCCACCAGCGGCACTTTCACCAGCCAGAGTCCTAGGTCAGAGTCTCAATGGGGGCCGCGCTGGGCACAGCAGGTGAAGCCGTGAGCATCCCATGCGTGCCCCGGTTCGAGTCCCAGCTCTTCCACTTCCAATCCAGCTCCCTGCTGATGGCCTGGGAAAGCAGCAGAGGAGGTCCCAAGTGCTCGGGCCCTGCACCCACGTGGGAGACCTGGAAGAAGTTCCTGGCTCCTGGCTGTGGCTTGGCTTGGCCCTGGCCATTGCAGTGATTTGGGGAGTGAGCGAGTAGATGGAAGACCTCTCTCGCTCTCTCTTTCAAGTAAACGAATAAATCTTATAAAACACTAATCCAAAGACCTGCACCTGCCTCCCACTGGCATTCTGAAACCCAGCACCCGAGGCCCTGATGCCGGAAGCCAAGCGAGTCTCCTCTCCCAGGAGGCAGCGCGTGCACCCCTTGCTGCGGCCCCGTCACCGGGGACAGGGCACCTGCCGACGCCGGCGCTGGCTCTGCCGACCCTGGCCCTGACCCTTGCATCCGTCGACGCCCACAGGTGCCCTTCCCGAGGAGGTCCACATAACCATGCTGAGGCCCGGCCACACCAGCCCCACATCAGAACCATCAACGCCGCCGTCAGCCCCTGCCGGCGCGGCCCTTAACCCCACACGGGAAGGCGACTCTGCTGGCACGTCCTTGTCCTGTTCCCGCCGGGCTCCCACTGCCGGTGGTCTCCAGCCTCACGTCCTGACCCCACCAGGCCTCGGCCACTTCCTGTCCAGCACTCTGCCAGGCCCTGCTCCTTCTCGCCCAGACCCGGGGCTGCTGTCCTCCCAGGGAGCAGAGCCTGGCAGGTGCGCAGCAAGGTGGGGGCTGCAGCAGACGGGGAGGGTAGGGGAGGGAAGGCTGCTTACATGCACCCCACCCTCCGCCAGCCCTTCTCCCTGAGGGAGCCTTGGGCAGGCTTACATCTCACCCTCACAGGTGCGCCCACCTCGCCTCAGACCCCCTTGCTACACCTGTGCCTGTGTCCAAACAAGACTCGGGCATCACCCTCCGTGGGGGCCACCTCTCTACAAGCTCCCGGCTCCCACCAAGCCGGTGGCTCCTGGAGAGCCTGGCAGGTGCCGCTGTCCCGGGGACCCACCTCTGGGGGCCGGCACCTGCCCACGGGGCTGGGGCTGGGGCCGCTCCTGGAGCCCGAGCAGGGGGTGGCTGCTCCAGGAGCCCCAGAAGGACCCCTGCTCTCATCGAGGCACCAGCCAGCACCCGGACAAATCACAAAGTGTCCCTGGAAACAGGGCCGACGCGAGGGGACCTACTCCACAGTGAAGAACGGACCTCAGGACATTCAGACCCAGCTGCTCTCAAACTTCCTGGTTCCAAGAACCTTTTAAGGAAAAAGCACTGAGAAGCCCAGGGAGCTCTGGTTCCCCTGGATCTCCATTTCCTGCACCAGCAGCTCCAACGGAATTCCCCATGCCTCGGCCAGCATTCAACGGCAGCACACCCATCACGTTACGTCAAATAACACTTACGCCAGGAACCGTATTTTCCCCAGCAAGAAAGAGCGGCACTGCTCTGCGCTTGTCTGGATCTCCCTTAGATGCAGTCGGACCCAGCGCGCAATTGGCAGAACTTCTAGAAAGTCCTGCACACGACAGTGAAACCCCGGTGCCCCAGGAGCCCCAGGACCACCTTCTGAGAACTGCTGTTCCCACAGCTCCGTCTGGTCCTCCCCAAGAAAGCAGGCGTCTGCTGCGGCGCTGGCCGAAGGTGGCGTGCATCAGCCTGGACTGCCATCAAGCGTCTCACTGTGTTCTCCTAGCGCTCTCTAAGCAGGCTCGGTCGTGAGACCCACAGCACAGAGACACAAGCGGTTCCCACAGGCGCTCCACGGTGCCTGCAACACGCTCTCTCAGACAAACGGACCAACGGGCGGACAGGCTGACGGGAAGACAGACATCAGCCGCAGCAGGCTTGCCTGCACGTGCCGGCTCTTGAGAGATGAACATGCAGACGAGTGAGGCGTGCCGTGGCAGCACAGGTGCACCCGAGCCAGGGCGCCACGTTCCGACACACAGATATGCCTGACACCTGTCCCACGTCGGACCCAGGAGACGCCTGAGTCCACCTGCACTGAGGGCAGCTGCCTGGGACAGCCACCTGGGCACTGTCTCCACGATGGCGCCGGGCTCCCTGACGGGGGCGGCAGCACCTGTCCACCAGCCCTTGGCGCCTCCCACGTCCCCGGTGCACCCCTGGGGTCTCTTGTGTCAAGCACGGCGAGGGCACTTGCAGCAGTTTTCATAAAAAGCTGCTCTGAGGTGGTTTCCAGCAGCTTACAGGTGTTGCAGAAACACAGCTTCTGGAACCTGAGAACTCCACCCTGAGCGGGGCCTGACCGCGAGGCCCCACGTGGCCACACCCCTGCCGGGCTGTCTGGCAGTGTGGACGCAGAAGGGCAGGTGCTCCCTCCTGCTTTTCCCCTCCTGCTACCCTCCCGCACTTCTCCCAGCAGCACGCAGCTCGGAGCCCCCACCAGGCGCCTGGCTTGCAGCGGGGACTCAGGTCCACTCAGCGCCAGGAGGGCAGATGGCCACCAGCCAGGCCTGGCCCAGTCCGTCTGCCCACAACCGTGAAAGGAAACCTGACTCAGCCAGCATGGAAGGAGCCCCGCCTGCTCACTGCTGAGGTCGGAGCCTGCACCGTCGTAAGTCTGTGTGCACTGAGCCTGACCCAGCTGCATCCACTCTAGCACCTCCTCGGGCGCCACAGCCCTCACTGTGCCACGGCCCTCACTGTGCCACGGCCCTCACTGTGCCACGGCCCTCACTGGGAGCCACGGCCCTCACTGGGTGCCATGGCCCTCACTGGGCCATGGCCCTCACTGGGAGCCACGGCCCTCACTGGGAGCCACGGCCCTCACTGTGCCACGGCCCTCACTGGGGGCCACAGTCCTCACTGTGCCACGGCCCTCACTGGGAGCCACGGCCACAGGGAGTCTCAAACTGCACAGGAGGCTTCAGGATCTCAACGTGTGAGAATACTGTTCCTGCTCTCCCACCGCACACGTGACAACACCCCGTCCCCGCACACGGACTGCACACGTGACAACACCCCGTCCCCACACACGGACTGCACACATGAGAACACCCCGTCCCCACACACGGACTGCACACGTGACAACACCCCCGTCCCCACACACGGACTGCACACGTGACAACACCCCGTCCCCACACACGGACTGCACACATGAGAAACACCCCGTCCCCACACACGGACTGCACACGTGACAACACCCCGTCCCCACACACGGACTGCACACGTGACAACACCCCATCCCCACACACGGACTGCACACGTGACAACACCCCATCCCCACACACGGACTGCACACGTGACAACACCCCATCCCCACACACGGACTGCACACGTGAGAACACCCCATCCCCACACACGGACTGCACACGTGACAACACCCCGTCCCCGCACACGGACTGCACACGTGACAACACCCCGTCCCCGCACACGGACTGCACACGTGACAACACCCCGTCCCCGCACACGGACTGCACACGTGACAACACCCCGTCCCCGCACACGGACTGCACACGTGACAACACCCCGTCCCACACACCGGACTGCACACGTGAGAACACCCCATCCCCGCACACGGACTGCACACGTGACAACACCCCGTCCCCGCACATGGACCTGCACACATGAGAACACCCCGTCCCCGCACACGGACTGCACACGTGACAACACCCCGTCCCCGCACACGGACTGCACACATGAGAACACCCCGTCCCCGCACACGGACTGCACACGTGACAACACCCCGTCCCTGCACACGGACTGCACACGTGACAACACCCCGTCCCCACACACGGACTGCACACGTGACAACACCCCGTCCCCGCACACGGACTGCACACGTGAGAACACCCCGTCCCCGCACCGGGACTGCACACGTGACAACACCCCGTCCCCGCACACGGACTGCACACATGAGAACACCCCGTCCCCGCACACGGACTGCACAGTGACAACACCCGTCCCCACACACGGACTGCACACGTGACAACACCGGTCCCTGCACACGGACTGCACACAGCACCTGCTTTTTGTGGTTGCTGCGCAGGAAGGGCCGCGGGAGCCCATGCTTGCACTCCGAGTCGCTCTGCTCTTCGTAACTTTCAAATTCATTGAGCTCCACCCGTACTCCAGAGAG